AGAGCATAAACAAAAGCCTTTCCCCCCCCCCCAAGATTTGAAAGTATCTTGTCCCCTTATTGGTCCTTTGGGTCAGGTGTCAGCCAGGTTACCCGAGCTTCTTAACCCTTTACAGGTAAAAGGATTTTGGAGTCTCTGGCCAGGAGGGATTTTATAGTACTGTACACAGGACAGCTGTTACCCTTCCCTTTATAGTTATGACGGCTTGGAACCAGGTCTCCGGCAAATAGGCTCTGGCCTGAGTAGAGTTGAGCGCCGTTCCTATAAACTCTCTTTTCTGAACTGGGATCAGAGTTGATTTCTGCTTGTTCATAAGCAGACCCAGCTCTCGATGGGTGGCCTGTACTATGCTGACGCTGTAATGCACCTGAGCTTGTGAACTGCCTTTGACTAGCCAGTTGTAAAGATATGGATAGATCTGCATGCCTCGACGTCTCAGGTAAGCTGCCACCACTGCCATGTACTTTGTGAAAACCACTGGGGTTGACAAGAGACCGAAGGGGAGTGCAGTGAATTGATAGTGGCGCAGTATCACCATGAACTGGAGGAATCTCCTGTGCCCACGGAAGATTGAGATGTGGAAATAAGCATGTTTTAAATTGAGGGTGGCATACCAGTCTCCCGGATCCAGGGCGGGAATGATGGAGGCCAGAGAGACCATGCAGACCTTCAACTTTTTGAGATATTTATTGAGTCGATGCAGGTCTAGGATGGGCCTGATGCCCCCTTTGGTCTTTGGGATTAGGAAATATCGGGAGTAAAAACCCCTTCCTCCTCAGATCTCGAGGAACTTCCTCTATGGCCCCCCCAAAGCAGGAGGGCTTCCACCTCCTGGACAAGGAGCTGCTTGTGAGAAGGGTCGCTGAAGAGGGATGGGACTGGGAGGTGTGATGGGGAGGATGGATGAAAACTGCCACAGTGTTGAGCACCGAATGGTCCAAGGTTATTTGTTACCATGCAGTACGGAAAGGAAACAAGTGGTCCAAAACCAAAAGAGGGCATGGATCCTGGGTCAAGTCTGATATGCCATTCTCGGGCACACTCTGAAAAGGCCTGCCTTGAGCGACCAGGGTATCTTCCTGAGCCCAATTGGGGAACCAAAGACAACTGAGTGGGCTATCAGTGCTTATATCCTCTCCCTTTTTTTCTTATAGGGCTTGTGCCTGG